CTATCTGTCCTTCGCTCTCATGCATGCTTCTTGAAGGAGAGTGTTCCTAGCATCAAATTTGAATGTATTCTCCATTTTTCTTTCCAACAGTTGCATTTATGCCATATAGTCAAGTGTCTCCAAAATCACAATCATATTTTCCAATCCTGTGACTCCTTTTCCCCCTGGGATCATTCTCCCAGAGCTCCCTGTCTTCCTGATTTCCTGGCAAGCTTCTTTTTAGGGGAAAAATGGGAGACCAGCCTTTTGAGCTAGGGGAACCCAGAATCCAGAATGAGAAGGCCTCGCTCTGGGAGTAGGGAGCAGTAAGTTTTGTGGTTTATACAACCTACTTCCATTCTTTTAGAGAAGAGTACTCATTTTTTTTTCCCCCTGAGAAGAGTAGAAGTCTGACATCTGGATGCTTTGTTTGCTAGAGTTAGGGAGGATAGCTGCCTCTATATATAGATTTTTAGTTAAGACACCAGTGTTCAGCCCTACTTTTTATCACCCTTTGCTTTACTTGGTTTCAGGTCCAGACCTCCTCTGTGTTTCCCAGAGAATATTGTCTCCTTTGTGCCTGTGCTCTCACAGAGTGGTTCTTGACCAGTGCCCTTAAGCCTACTGGTTGCAACCCATTAGGGAGTCATGAAGTCATGAAATCAGTGTAGTGGCTCAAGACAGTCACTTAAAAAACAGATTAGAGGACAAAATCTCAAAGTGCCCTACACATGCTAAGGGTAAATATTGTTTCCTAACACTTGTTTTAGTTATATAAAAACACAGACCCATATGTACACGTGAATTGGATCTCAAGTAAAATGGACTTCTTGCTGCAGGTTGAACTAAAAGAAGTTAGGAGAATATTTTTCAGGCCATGGCTTCCTCCATGCTGCTACAACAGTCAACATTTCTCGGTCCACTTTGAATCTTACAGATTTGTTGAAGTATCTCTTGTGGGTTTATTAATGGGTATAACAGACCGTATTTAGTACCCTGTGTGGCACAGGTATTGACTAATCTGAAGGGATCCTGGAACAGAGACCTAGAGATCCAGCTCTGCCAAGTGTTAACTCCTTATTTACAGGATTGAAGGGACGTATGTCTTGGGGGCGCCCAGTGGAGGGAGCCGGGAGGGGCACTAAAGGTCTTGGGATAGCGGCTCTTTATGAGAACAGAATATTGCCATATTTTAATGACTAGTGTGGCTGTATTGTTGGGTAACAGCCAAATGTCAACTCTGGATTAAATCTTTTTTTATTCCTTAAAATTTTAAGGGCATCTTTGGAGGAAGGTGAGATATATAGGTACCTAAAAAAACAAAACAAAACATTTTGAACCAGAGGTCCTACAGTTTTCATTTTTAACTTAATTTTCCCAAATATTTTAGTTCTTTTTTAAAAAAGAAAACTGTAATGCTCTGACAAACCTGATGTTCACTAGTGATAGTTAAGCCTCCCTACCCATCCACCCCCAACCCCGGGAGGAGGGAAGAATGGAGACAATCCCAATTGAAATGAAAGGAGAGAGATTATTCCTGAAATACTTGGGTAAAAGAGAAGAGTTAAAGAGGCTATATATTTGTAAGGCTAGAGGGGAAAGTGGACGCCAACCATGAAGGGAGGAAGAGAGAAAAGGATGCGAATCATGTATTTGTGAAATGAGCGATCGCACAGTTTCCTCCGTTTGCCCCACGTGATGCCACCATCCATGGCTTTGCTTCTTTCTCTGTGGGGCCGTCATGCAGAGTGGCTTCAGTCTATTCCTGTGTGTTGACACGCTTGCACTGGGGAAAAGGAAAGGTGATGGAGAAAGGGAAGCGCAGTTCAGGTGTAGCTCCATATTTGCAATCTGTTTGTGACTTTGGCAAGTGCTTCTACTGCAGTAAGACATTAAGTACCATTACACTGGCATTTACTCACTGCTTATTTCCTTAAGTCCATGATAGCTGAGGGTTGTCGCTCAAGTTCGAGACCCGGTAATCCCGTCTTCCTTGTTTGTTCATTACTTTCCAGTTAGGTGTTGGGAAAAGGAGCCCATATGTAAGCTTTCAGCTCATTTCTTGGTGCCTCTCACTTCCTTGATTCAGAAGGGAAAGAAGGGAGGACCTCGACTAGAGGCAGATCTCCCCACCTCGTCCCCGAGTCCATCCTGCCTGGCAACAGTCAGAGCTGGATGCTGTCCTCTTGTGAACAGGAATACTTCTGCCAGCAGGTGCCAGCAGCATAGTGACAGGATGACAGCATAGCTGGGGAGTGAGTTGCCCCGGAGATGAGAAGAAGGGCTTCCTGTGTTCATGACGCTGATGGAGTAGACTGGTGGTTCTTATCACTCACCACCAGATGTGTCCAGCTGGTACACTTTCTACTCCATCCCAACCAAACACACTTAACGTTCAAACCAACACTTACATCATCAAAACAAAAGTGTTTACAACGTTAAGCCTTACTTAGGCTTTTAGCAATTTAAGTCATTAGTCTAGTGATAGAGGGAGTGCCCTTTCATGGAATTGTGTCTGGGAAAACTCAGGCCCAGGGCGGATTTTCCTAGGCTTTCCTGCAACTGCAAGCTTTAGAGTGGTGGATCGAGGTCCCTGACTTGCTAAGACGGAAGCACTCTTCATCCCACTCTCTCCCTTCATTCTCATGGACGCCTTGTCCTGCAGAATAGCTCATTCATCAGCTCTAGTTAGAGTCAGTCAAATAGACTGACTTTATTCAGGACTGTTCCTGCTTTTGATGAGACACTTTGTGGTCGTGTTTTTCGTGGCTTGACAGCTGACCTTTCATACTCCCCTGTCACAGTGTCATTTCTTCCTCTCGTTTAGAGTCCCTTGTTAGGGACAATCTTTGGGGCTTTGGGGTACCTTATCAGTGTGATTATATCCCAGTCAACCATTTCCCAAGTTCATGTTCATAGTTTGGGAATATTTTGATTGGTTTAGATGGCTTTAAGGTGCCACATTTGGTAAAATTCAAGGTTACCACTGGAGAGGTCGCCTTCCATAGGCTCAGTTTGCTGCTAAAATGCTCTGTCTCAGCAGTTTTGGTAGGAATTAAGCATTTTTTGGAATTAGTTGGTGTATCTTCTTTATATTGTTTGATTATTTATTAGTCTTGCTTAGCTAATGATTTTAGTTCTGTTTCCCAGGGAATTATTAAATCTGGGCAAAGGCTTATTATTTTAAATTTTACATGCTGAATAATATTCCATTGTCTATATATTACCACATCTTCTTTATCCACTCATCTATCGATGGACACTTGGGCTGTTTCCATATCTTGGCTATTGTAGATAATGCTGCTATAAACATAGGGGTGCATGTATCCCTTTGAATTCGTGTTTTTGTATTGTTTGGATAAAATACCCAGAACTAATATAACACTGTATGTTAAATATACTGGAATTAAAATAAAAAAATTATTTAAAAAAAAAGTTTCCATTACATGTAACAAAAGAGAACTGTCATAGAAAATGGTTGGACCATGGGCGCCTGGGTGGCTCAGATGGTTAAGCGTCTGCCTTCGGCTCAGGTCATGATCCCAGGGTCCTGGGATCGAGTCCCGCATCGGGCTCCCTGCTAGGCGGGGAGCCTGCTTCTCCCTCTGC